AGTAATCATATATGTAAAGAATAATGTAAATTGCGAGCTAAATATTGTTGGTATGTTCGCTGGTTTATATTTTAAGTAGTGTAATAAACCACAAGAAAACTAGGAAAGGATTTTAAAATTCATCAAGTAATACTTCTAATATGTCTAGTGACATTTGTCTCTTATTATTAGGGTTTATTTTTATAGTAGCAAAGAACTTTAAATATGGGAAGATTCTAGGAAACAAACCTCGATATAAACCACAAGTTTTTATTGTAGTATATATATATATAGGTTTGATATACAGAGCGTGATTAGTTATTTGCTTCTATATTTTTATTGATGTGGTGTTCGTGCATCACATGTCAATGCTGCGCTAGAGTTCAGTCTGCCTGTGGGTTAGTTAGCCTGATAAATGGAAACGTCATCTCCGTACCTCAGTGAGAGATTACAGTAGTAATATTCACCCCTCCTTCTAAAAAGATAATAAAAGGCAATGCGAATCTAATCTAAGTCCAGCTTTATCAAGATTTAATCTCAGAAAGTAAGTGCGTTAAAACCAGAAGCATTTAACCTCGATATAGTTAATGACTGTAAGAAATTCTTACTATTCATTTATGTTATAAAGTAATGACTGAGAGATACGGAAGATATGCCCTCAGTTACCGTTTCTCATCTCAACAGCTTGGAGTGGATTTTAAACAAACTGTGTTACATTGTTTCCTTGCTGCACTACCCGAAAGAGCATATATATTTATATAAATATGTATAAATTGTATATTATTTGAAATATACAAATTTATTTATATATATATATATATATATATATATATACATATTTTTATTGTTTTTAAATATGGTATGTGTGTGTGTTTTTTCGAATTCGTGGTAATCTGTTTAATATATCACACTAAAAGATGTTGCAAGCAAGAGACGTTAACATGACCCTGCATATTTTTATTACTCTACTATCTTAAAACTCAAAGGTTCTAGATTTAACTGACTTAAATGACAGATCATCACTTAATATTTATTAATTAATGTTGCAATAACAGCTTCGCGATGACTTTATTATAAATTTTGTGAACACAGGCACAACAGTTATCTACATGATAAAAGATTATCTCTTTTCGTAACGCTCCCTTTGTCGGTAACACAAGACTCTCTGTTGGTGACGTTCAAATAGGCTCAGTGGTTTGTCTCGAGTTCAAATCCCAATCAAGTAAGGATGTTTTATAATTTGTTATTATTATTAACACATCATGTTTGGAGAAAAGGATTATAATATCAGGAAAATATACAATAACAAGATACTTTGTGTGTGTGTGTGTGTTTTTATAGCAAACCCACATCGAGCTATCTGCTACTTTTAGTGTTGTAAATCCGAAAACTTATTGCTGTCCTACCAGAGGATAAGATCCTTTACATTAGATGTTAAATACCATGACTAGGTTACAGATGTGTTGCTATAGCGAAACATTATAATCAATATTTTTAAGTGCTATAACTGGAATAAACATGTGTTTTTATTGCCCTTTCCATTAAATGCTAGACGTGTACGGCAGTTGTCTATTCTTGTCATTCAAACTTTCAAACAAATATCTTACTTCAAAAGAGACTATACTTTCAACAAATAAGATGGGAATAAAGATTGCATACTATCCAGATTACCCTTGTTACTCAAAAATGGTATATAACAGGTTTTGAAACAACAACCTATGAAGTTTATTATCATCTGAAATGATACATAATTTGTCAGGAAATGAATACATAGTTGCTTATATTAGCAATTTACAGCTTCAACTTATTTATTGTTGAGTATATGTAGCCCCCCCAGTGGCACAGTGGTATGTCTGCGGACTTACAACGCTAGAATCTGGGTTTCGATAATCGTGGTGGGCAGAGCACAGATAGCCCATTGTGTAACTTTGTGCTTAATTATAAACAAACAAACAGAGTATATGTATATCACCAAAAGTAAACTTTTTTATCATTACATATGTGATATTCAGATACATTGACATCCATTAGAAAAGTAACGTGTATCTGCAAAACCAAATTTCTGAAAATATTGTGCAGAGAGTAATATCAAATACATAGAGCAAAGGAAAAACAAAAAAAAACATCTAACACAATAAAATAAATAAAATAGAACCTATATTCACAGTTAAATTGAACGCGTGAAATGTAACTTACTGGTCAGTGCTAGGTTTTTGGTATACACTATATGGAGAAAGAAAAGAGAACCAGGTGAATATTCCATTTTAAGTGATACTAGAATAGCATTATAGTGTTCCTTAGAGAGAAAACTACTCCTCTGACTTGCACCAACTGGTACAAATCTATATACTACTCTACCCAGTAGTGAACATGCACGTTCTTTCAGCCATTGGGCATTATAATGTGATGGTCAACCCCATTGCTTGGTAGTAAATAGCAGCCCAAAAGTTGTAGGTGGGTGCCACCGGCTGGATGCCGTCTTTACGGTCAGTAGTTTAGAACGCGAGTCGGCGATGATAGCCATAGTAGGTTTTTCGTAAACAAACTGTACCCGCTGGAATAAGTAAAACCTCACTCTCATTACAAGGATATCATAACCCAAAGCAAAATATTTGAACAATTGTTTAGCAAAATTGCTTTAATATACCTGATATATTCTATACTGATTATGGGATGGCGAAATTAACAGTCTTTTTAACTGTGACACATATGCATGTTTCGAAACAACAACAAAAAAATTTATTTTTATCTATATTTTAAAGAGCTAAAATCAATAAACAATAAAAACATATATTTTCGTTTTGTATTTTTACCCAAATAAAAATAGCTTTCCAGTGGCTCAGGGTAAGTCTGCAGGCTTACGACGCTATAAATTCGAGTTTTGATACACGTAGTGTGCAGATCACGAATAGCCCCTTGTATAGCTTTGTACTTAACCAAAAACCAAACCATATCTAATAAGGAGTTTGGACAATTTAAGATTAGAATTGAAAACATAAAAACCCAAAAATGTCCTTACAATTACCTACTTTGACACAAGTTAAATTAAAGTCCTTCAATTTCAAAGCAGACCCGTCACTTATGATATCTATACAGAGCAAGTGATTAGAAATGAAATAATGCTAAAAGTTGGAAAGCTGAAAGATTTAAGAGCTATATTCTGATGTAACAGTCAAATTACGGATGAATAACTTGAAGTACTTTCCCTAATTTGAGAATAAAATTTAGTTAAACGAGTGTATGGTAATTTATAATTAAAGGAAATAATATGTCTTTCATCACTATTATCGTAACTTGTTGTACAAGGTTTTATCACCTTTAAGCAGGAAATTTTAAATAGAAATAATTCTTTATTTAATAGTCTATTTTAATTATGTTTATTTCATGTTATAGGGTGTTTTAATGTAATTTTTTAATTCTGTTTTCATATTATAGCTTTACTTTTAATATGAAATTTTGTTATATTGGTTCAATTTATGATATTTTGGTTTCTTAATGTAAAATTGTATTTTCATTGGTATTTGTTGGTATTATTAGGCAAGTGTTTTGGAGAGATGAGAGTAACTTTTAATAATTTCTTGAAGAGTATGAGGGTTATTTTAATCGTTTTTCAAATTTTAAAGTTAGGGATGATTGGATAAGCCTAAAATTAATGGGAGGAGGGAGGTAAATCGCAATATATAAGCTTACCATTTATTTCTGAACCCCTAAAATAACATATAATGTTTTAACATTTTTGTAGATATTCAGTATGTGTTATTGATATATAAAGTCGGTCAAAGGAGCCACTAAATTCTTCTCACCATAATTACTCATGGGACTAGGGCATTCAGTTAGAATATTACAAGTGCTTTTTCTTAGAAATGAATTGCTGTAACATAGCGTGTACTCTATATAAAGTGACAATGATCTTTTCTTCTGGCATATAAGCTGATCTTTTACCCCGGGGATACAACATCCCTTATTTTGTAGGGAGAGTGCCTATCAGTCATGTGGGAGGCACCTATACCCTGTAAAGAATGACATTGTTGTTCTTTCTATATAATGCCACATTTTCTCAGTTTGGCATTAGATATCAGACGATGACTGAGAATAGGACAACTGAAATAGTGCTACTCCAAAATATACACAAATTAACACACACATATATATATATCTTTGGTAAAGGAACAGAAATACACTTGCACTTTAAACCGCTGATTGTATTTGTGAGTGATGAAAATAGATATTATTTCGCTGTGCAATATATTGTGTCTGTCCAATCTCTTTTTTTACTTCAGACTCAGTCGAGGTTAAAATACTTCAGTCTTTGCTCTATAAAGCATTCACTGGCGAACCTCCAGTTATTCTGCTGCTCATACCCGATTACACAAAAGTAAATCAGTGAACCGTAGAATATCACAGAATTATCACCAGTCTTATTGTAAAGTAATATTGCACACATATGCTATTAAATATCATGCTTAGTCAGTTAATGTGCTGTAAATCTTAAGCCTTAATTTTTTGTTTAACACATTAAGAACTTAAGTTATAAACTTACTTTTTTTCCAAAAAAAAAAGAATAAAATGCAATGTAAGAAATTGGAAATATTAAAAACAAAAATAGATGATTAAGTTTCTTCTATGAAATATCGATTATTTCCGAAAAAGTTTTTAAATATTGTGTTTAAATATTTTTATCAGACAAGTAAAAGTTAATAGAAGAAAAACAGCACCCTCTATAATCATTGATAACTAAACAGTAATTGATCAACTATTATCAACTTGAAAGTTGGGAGAAGCAAAGAATTTTGTTTCTTTTGTTTAATTCGACGGTTATTGTGATATTTTAAAAGAAGCTGAAAGAACAAAAACTATAGTATTAAATAATCTGAAATAAATTATATATGCTAGATTTTCGGGGTCGTCGTTAATTTCTAGTTATATATAATATACTGATTACTAATAATACCAAACGAAAAGAGCAAAAGCATAATGTATGTATAATCATATGCTCTAGTAGCTCGTGTGATAGTTTATCCCTGTTTTCAAATAAACTTAATAATTTACAACTTGTCATTTAAAACAACTATAAATCATTCTGTGCTTATTACATTATTTATTCAGTTAGATTTGTGATATATTTTATTTCAATCGACAAGATTTAATTGATGTTCTTTAATGTATCTTTTTTTATCTATCCCGTAGTGCTAGTTTGATTTATTCTTTTAAATTCTATACTCACGTGCGTATGTTTATGACTCCATTTAAAGAAGCATTAATGTGCAGTGAGTACTCATTATTATGCTTTTCAGTGTATAATGTCTTGTACCTCGAACAAAATTAACAAGATACTATTTTATAATGGTAGTTTTGGTTAATGTAATAACTCATAACGGTTGTTAACACACATTCCTTAGTGAAGTGCAGTCACCAAAAGTAATGTGAAAATATCATAGCTTGCTCAAATCACGTGATGCATGAAAATCTAAGTATTTCCAGTGACAGGCATTGTGGAGTTGCTTTACTGGAATGACAAATATTCTTACGTTAACAGAACGATGAAAGTTGTATTATCATTTTTTCTTTAGTTTTGTGTAAGTTTGTAAAAATAATATTACCTCTATGTTTCTGAAGATAATTATGAATTTTTTGCATTATTTAGATAAAACTTAAAACTTTTTGATTTAAGAAAGCATTTCATAAATTATATTCATAGTGATGGCATAGATGGTTCTTCATAAATTGACATATCTGTATATAGGATTAAGTATAATGGTTATAAATTCAATATATATATATATATATATATATGCCCCCAGTGGCACAGCGGTATGTCTGCGGACTTACAACGCAAAAATTCGGGTTTCGATACCCGTGGGGAGCAGAGCACAGATAGCCCATTGTGTAGTTTTGTGCTTAATTACATACAAACAATATATATATAACGTTTAAGTTATTTACTCCTGCAGTAAGCGAAAAGCATACTAAGGCCTGTATTAGTACACTCTTGAAAGATCATTGGTAATTTGGTTTAGTAAGATTATCTTTTGTTACTCATTCAAACAATTAAAAATCTATTTTATTCTTTAACCAGCAGGTCTTACATGATCAGGTGGTTAGGACGCTCGACTCGCAATCTGTAGGTTCGAATCCCCGTCCCACCAAACATGCTTGCCCTTTCAGACGTGGGGTCCTTATAGTGTGACGGTTAATCTCATTATTCGTTGGTAAAAGAGTAGCCCAAGAGTTGGCAGTGGATGGTGATAACTAGCTGCCTTTCCTCTATTCTTTCATTGCTAAATTAGGGACGGTTAGGGTAGATAGCCCTCGTGTAGTTTTGCGCGAAATTAAAAACAAACCAAACCTTAACCAGCTCAATCGCAGAATTTCAATCCGATGGAATATCTTTGTGTGATTTTTAAGGTTGCATTCGCTATCACAATAATGATTCATTCCTGTAAGCCAATTGCAAAACATGCGCTTTTACAAATGGGTTGTAACAAAATCAAGTCCCATTCCGTTGTCCTGGTATTTTTACAAGGAAATATTGACACACTTGAAATCAGGCGGAGTTTCTAAGAAAGATATTTATAAAAAATCGGCACATCTCGAAAACTTTTACAATAGTATTTCTCATACTTAAAGTCCACAACAAAATAAGTTTTTACTTACCCCAATGTTTCCAAGAACGTTGTTTTTGGAAGTTTGTTCGTACTTTAATTTTTACTAGTCTTTTTTCATGAGAGAAATCTGTGATAGAATTTCATTTTAAGAGAAAATTAGCGATGAAAAGAAGAGATGTTTGTTAACAGTACAGCACAAAGCGACAAATGGGCGATCTGTGCTGCACCCACCACAGGTATCGAAACTCAGTTTATAGCGTTATAAGCCTTCAGACTTACCGCTGTGTCACTGGTAACTAAATATTATGGACTCCTGGGAAGCTAAAACTATGTTTCTGTGCAAATGCTAAGCCATAAATTAGATCGTGTGCATAGTAAATCACCTAAAAATATCTGAATACAAGTAAATTCAGGCCCGGCATGGCCAGATGGTTAGGCCTCTCGACTCGCAATCTGTGGATCGCAGGTTCGAATCCCCGTGCTCGCCCTTTCAGTTGTGGACGCATTATAATGTGATGGTCAATCCTACTATTTAAAAAAAAAGCTCTGTCAAGTTATTTAGCTGCTAAATTAGGGACGTGTAGCTTTGCGCAAAATTCATAACAAACAAACAAATTCAGCATTTTAATCGAAATATATTTCAACGACATTGCCTATTTATACAAGGGCATGTTTCGATAGCTATGGGAATATGCAAAAAGATACCAAAATGTATATACAGAGAGTAATTTACAGATCACTATGGTATTCATGGATTAGCTTATGTTTCCAAGCAACTGACAATATGGCTTAAGAATTACTCTCATATAATAGATAGAAATATGTCCTGCATAAATGAAGCAAAGAGTACTGATTATACTTGTAATATACCTCTAAAATTTGTTTGGTGGCAGGAAAGGTATGTGAAATCTATTTTAGAAGATAAATATTCATACTGCGAGATTATTAAATGATGTAGAGCTATGGAACAGAAGATAATTTGACGAAAGGAGTATTCAATTAATGTTCTTCTTGAGAATGTGGATGAATCACAGAGCAGATTGCTTAGGCAAGCGATAGGATCCAAAACCACACCCTAATCCAATTAAGAACAACAACCCTTATTCATAGAGATAAGGCTATGGTTACAAGAGAGATAATAAAAACCTCTCACTTAAAAAGCTATTGTTATGAAGTTGTGCATATCTCCTGGCACCATTAACAAGATAAGAAACAAGATGTTCAACTTTAACAAAATTCACGAGACAAACGTTCACAATCTTCTAACAAAAATCTCGATATCAACAGCTCTTTCATAAGAAAAATGACCGCAGATACAGTAATCACAGCAATATTATTCGATCACATAGTTTTCAAATACCCGATACAGCTCCAATGTTGTTGTTTTTGTCTTTTGTTTTCTTATACGTGCACTTGGAAGCTGTAGACTTAAAACATCGGCATGTTTATGGAAAACTTCACAAAAAAAATTGTAAAATATTCACATGGTAATTCTTTGAAAGAGACCGATCTAATGGAAACATCGCTGTAAGACCATGGGTAAATGGAAGGGAAAGTGGATAATGCTCTCTCGTCGGGAAAAATACGATCTTCAGTGCTCGTGTGTCGAACTTATTCATGGCTTCCAAAAAAAAACGTACATGACCTTTAACTACCACATCAAACTGTGTTTGTAATTTGAAAAGCATATCTACTCACAAGAACGTTCTTTACTTTAGTAGTGCATGCCAATATGTAGCTTCTGTAGAAAACTATACTTATTTTCGTTTTATATAAACGGATATTAGTAGATATATATATAAAGTTTATTTTATACTTCATAATAATATGGAAAAAAAATTAATACCAAAACGTAAGCTCTAAGATAAATAGTGATTGAATACAAAACACTGATTTTGTATTTTTTTTTCTCACTTTATATTGCTGATATGTTCTTTGTACTTGTCAGTGCTGTATCTGAATTCAGGACTGATACCATGGAAGAAAAACCATGTTGTAGCTATAAACGTTTTGTGTTAGAAAGTGTTTCCTCTTACATGTGTATACTTTTATGCAATAATTATAGTTTCAAGTGTCATTTGGTTCCAAAAGACAGAGATATGCTTATCATCACAAAATAGTCGAAGAGGTTGAAAAGGGAACTCATAAAAACCTGACTAGATTTTGCGATATGAATTCCTGTTAAGACAGTCATATCCTCCAATTGCAATCCAGTACAGAAGCACAGGCTTGGAATAGTAATAAAACACATATTCGAACAATAAACGTAATTACACCACCATCTGAGATGATGGCTCTAAAATCCTCACTTTGTACACAGAAATAATTGTATAAGTAACTTTTGTGCTCAATGATAACGGAATACCACCTTGACTACATTTGTGGTTTTGAAACAGGTTTAAGTCCCTTGTAATGTTACCTTTCGCTACACAGAGAGTTTGTCAATAATATTAATGGATACTCCCTTATAACCACACAAAATGGTAAATGAAGATTTTACCAAGTATTCTCATAAACAGTCCTTTATAACCACACCACTGGTAAACAAAGAGACTATTAAACATTATCGTGAATAACACCTTGCAAACACGCCCTTCGCTATATAGTTGGTCTCTGTTATGTTGTACTATTCATCGCTATGTAGAATGTCTACCAAATATTCTGATGATTGGGCATTTGTAACTATAACACTCTTTAAGCACAGTCTACTAAACTTACTGATAACATGCCGCTGCTAGCTACTTCTACTGCTATACAAGCAATATACTAAATATTCTAAATCTACTAAAACTCTTTTGTAGCTTCTTACATCGCTACGCACAGGGTCTGATAAAAAAATTATGTTAAATAGTTCCCTGTAATCACACCATTCGACACATCGAAAACCTACCAAACATTTTGATGAATAATCCATTGTAAGCAAACCCTTTGCCACACGTTGTCCGTATCCAACACCATACAAACGTTTTCCACATTTTTTATAAACATTGTAACTGCACCCATCTCCTAACACTAAACGTTTTGATAAACAGACGTCTATAATTACGCACTTGGCTACGTAGAAAGTCTATTAAAAGTTCTGATAAGTAGTTCTTTGTAACCACATTCTTCTATAGAAAGAAAGCCTTAGAAAATATTTGCAAATATTATCTTGTAACTAAACCAGATGTTGTACAGAAATTATCAAATATTCTGATAATTAATCCCTTGTATACACATCATCTGAAAAATACTACAACAAAATTTAGAGTAAACATCGCTACAAAGAAAATGTTCGTAGATATTTCCATGAGATTTCATAATTTACTTTTTGTTCCAAATTGTTTATAGAATTTACTGATTTTAGATTGAGTTCGAAAAGAATTTGGTTTAGCATCCTGTAAAAATTCTTAAAAGCACTTATTCTTTATCTTAGATAACAAGATAAATAA